ATTGTGAGAAGCTTGTGGAAGGATACCCAAAACATTTGACCCAAGTCATACAGTTTAAAGACAATGTTACCAAATACTAAGGAGATGTATGTAAAACTTCTGACTTCGAAAAAAGTAATAAAAAAATATATTTTTCATTATTCTGACATTTAGCAAATACAAATAATTTTGGTAATCCTAACTAACCCAAAACAGGAAAAGTTTAGTCTGATTTGTCAGACAGTGACGAAAAAAAAAAGGTTATGTGTCTTTTTATACTGTGTATGTAAACTTCTGGTTTCAACTCTACGTTTTCCATATTGCCAGTATATTTTAGCTGGCTGTAGTGCATATTATTTCTGTTTGTTACTTTTACAGGATCTTTACCATGGCAAGGTACAAGGGAACATTCATATTCAATTAATGAAGGGGTCCATGGGACCGGTAGAGACCCTGTAAGCCTTTAGGTTTAGAAGCTTAGCTTACATTATAGCGAGCAAGTCACTGGTTAGAAACCCTTGGTGAAGACATAAATAAAAAACTGTCTTCTTTCACTGTAACAGCTGTCAAAATATCTTAGCAAAGCCACTCAGTTGTACTTTGGCCTGCTAAACTGTGTGTGTAAATATCACCCTCTTTACCCCACTACATGATCCACTGGGCCTCTGGTGTAAGTAATATCATAAATGAAAATGTCTATGGTTTCTGAAAACTGGAAGTGTGCTCCACTACAGGAATCACAGACGTCAGTATTTGGATTTTCTACAGGGAACGTGTTGCCAATATGCCCAGTTTTGTTGTCTCATGCATTTTCCAAAGCTGACATAATAATTTCTCAGTATGGCACCAACAGTGACTCTTCCATCTCTGTCTTTCCTCAGGACAGAAACCACAGTCTCCTTGCTCCTCTCGTCAGCACCACTTGAACTCACCCCCCATGAAGCCCACTACCTCATATTTCAGCTCCTGAGATTCTGAGCACCACTGAAATCAAGGCCATAGCAGATCTCAGTAGTTGTGAATGTTGATTCTAATTTACAAGGCCTACAGTATGTTTTCCCTTACTGGTTCAGTATTTCAGAAAAGTAAGTTTTATGTTTATGGCAAGTAGAATCTGTTATTTACATCGTCTTCTAACAAGCCTCGCAGCATCACTGACGATGTATGCTAGCGTGGCTGATGCTAATGTATGAATGTGTTTAGCTTTGTGCTTTAAGTGCCAATAACAACATAAACCCAACACCTGTTTATTACTGTATAAAGACATCTGTGCTGGATTTTAGAAACTGAGCCTCAGCTGAAATTAAATTTCAAATTTAATTAGTATATTTGTATTTATTAATTGGTGATTACACAATAACTAAACAAATGCTTCCCCATATGCAGGCTTTGATACATGTTGTTGTGTTGCTATTTAACTGAAACAATATTCAAAGTTGCAGTTACACATTGCATTTATTTTTTTCCCCCAGCTGTGACAAGCTCATACTTAGATTATTCCTTATTTTCATTGCATTTTGTCCAGTTTTTCTTTAAAGGCAAAGGTGCTGCTTTTGAATGTAACAGACCCAGACAAACTTAGTTTTCTTTTCTCATTTATTTATGCAAATTATGTTAAGTCATAATGACTTGTGTTGTAAACGTCAGCTATTTTTAAAAAATAAAAAATATGGTCACACAGTACAGCATTTGTCTGTAGTGGTTGCACAAGCATATATTGTGTACAAAATAAACAATTATATCAAAGTTTTACGAATACTTTATTGTTCCCATAGGGAAATTTGACTTGCAACCCTTAAAAGATATGACCACAATCCAGCAAATTAAAGACATTACTTAGTACACAGAATACTTCATTTTCAGCATTTATGAGACAGAATGATCTTTCGAAAAACTTGAAAAAATGAAAAGGAAAAAAAAAAAAACACTTAATAAAATGCTGGTGAGTTAAGCATAAGACATAGTAGCATTAGTCTAAAGTTTTTTTTCACTGTAGTAAGACTGAAGTGAACAAATGGATGTTTCTTTGTGATTGACTTATAAAAATTAGGCTAAATGCATGTCATGACATGCTTGGTATCTAAACATCATGAAATGAGACAATATTTTTACTAATTCATGGGCTCTGGCACTGACACATTCTAAATTTAACTTGCCGTCAGTATGACAGTAATTCACTCCACCATTTATCTTGTCATGAACTTACAGTATGATCAGGGACATCCCACTACATATCGGTCAATCACCTAATTTAAACCTAAAGAACCTGAAGCACAAATATTTTTTTAGCACTGTCTTCTTCCAGTTTATGGCTCAGTAGCTTGTCCAAATGCTTCTTTTGCTTGCATAGCGACTGATAATAAAAGGAGGTGCAGGTAAAATCCTACTGTCACTGTAGACTGGACAGCCTTTAAACTCACAAGGCCAGTCTTTCCATGCATATCGAACAGCAGCAACTTCACCAGAGAGCTGACACAGAAGGGAAGATAACTGGATGGTGGTTGGACCCCACTGCATGATTTGAGCTGGAACCCAGAAGGACTTCGGCCCACATGGAGCCCATATCCCCGGGCAACAGAGCTTAATTTAAAGAAAAAACAATCAGGATATGAACAAGAGCAAATGTTGAACTCTAAAGATTATTCAGGAGTCATAGGTTAATGTCCTGCTAATGCAGTCCTACATGACCAACCCACAGAACTGGATTTGAAAGTATTTTCTTTTGTCATAATATGTGATTGCTATTAATGCCATTACACCTGTTTTCTCTGGGTAACATGGCGAGCAGGAGGTTTCTTAAATAAATGATAACTCACAGTGACCACTCTTCTGTCAGCCTTACCTCAAAGATGTCTCTTGACGGCGTGACAGAGATTGCTTGGTCGTAGGTAATGTTGACGTACATTTGAGTGGACAGGATTTGGGTGGGGAAAGGTCCAAGGAAGGGCACATCCTTTTCATTGTAAGCCACTGCCCTGGCACCCAATGTCAGTCTATAAGCTACATCCTGTTTGTCTCTTGGATGGATCCTGAAACAGAAAAGTAGTTTGAAAGTCAGTACTGTAAATAAAAACAACTCATAACTTCCAAATATAAAGCAGGTTACATGATTACATGTGCACACTTTTAATGAAGACAAAAAAACAGCAGAAAGCAGTTTCCCTGTTGGTTTTTCAGTATTTGGTACTTAGAGAAAGCCTGTGATGTTACGAAGTTATGCCAGGTACTTAATGTAGAATAGAATAGAATAGAATAGAATAGAATAGAATAGAATAATATTTAGTGATCCCCCATTGGGGGAAATTTACACACCACAGCAGCATCCAAAAAATATAGAAAGTACAGAAAATAATAATTAAGTAATATGCATCCCCGGTGTCCACACACAGCCGGTCCAAGGCTCCACCGTCTCCGGTTGGGCAGTCCACAGACTGGCTGAATGTCGGGAGAGTGGTACAGAGCGATGTATGATTAAAGTCTCCTGAGATGATGATCAGAGACTGAGGGTGTGATGTTTGCAGCTGGGACACTGAACTATGGATGGGCTCACAGGCTGCAGCATCATCAGCCGAGGGGGGGATGTAAACTGCAATTGCCAGGACGTGTGAAAATTCCCTCGGCCGGTAAAATGGCCACAAACCAATGCCAACAGTTCAACATCCTTTGTGCAGCGCTGCTCTTTAACTCTACCATGCCCAGCATTACATTAATGCGTGTTGACAATATCTATGGCAAAACCCTGAAAAGTTTTACAGATGTTCAGAAGGATCTTAAAATCTATCCAAAGACTAACTGTAAGCAAGAGCAGAAGCTTTTGAACAGGTGAGATTTCAGCTCTCTGCTCTGATTAAAGCTCTTGCAGCAATACTTTTTAATAAACAGACTGACATCAGTTCAAACCTGTCACAGTACTTAAAAACTGCACTTACCCTCTACCCCACACTTCTCAAATTTAGAAGTGGTTGTCCATGGTATGCTGACAAATCAACATGAAGGAGTAGCTGCACTCCACAATGACTGTATTGAGTGTATTGAGCCTAGGCAGAGGTTACTGCTTGGTCATGAGATGCAGACTTTCTGAAGGCTGATGTGAATAATCCCTGCCTCTTTTCAAGTGCTATCAACTGTGACTCCCAAATACAGCAGGTCAGAGAAAAGTTGAATTCTTTCATACAAGATTTCACTTGCCATGAACACATAAATGGGATCCTTACGTGCCGTAGGGTGAAGTTTCATCCGGTAAATCCAAAGCCACAGCCATGAAGGTTTTCTTCATCCTGGGGTTCGGGACAAAGCCAGTGTCTGCTGTTTGGTGCCAGCGGATGTTCGGAAAGCTGTCATCTGTGGAGAGTTTTTCGTAGGTGGACAGCTGCACATGTAGATGTACAATACATTAAATGATGTTTGAGAAGGCTCTGTATGCTCTGTCTGTATTACCTAAACAGAGGAGAAGCTGACATAATCGTCTGCCACAGTGTCTTTCTTATACTATCACTTTGGGGCACACAAATCATACATTTTCTGATTCTAAGGTGCAGTGTCTTAAAGATGTGCATTACATTGGATGCTCTCATTTTGTAGATGTTTGGTTGATACCAATCAGCTACAGCATTTAAGTCACTAGCATTATATTGTGTAGGTCCAATGAACTCCACAGACCTCGAAAGTGTCCTGTGAAACAATGAAACAGCAATGAAACATTAGAAGTAGATCCTTTGAGACCTGTAAGCTGTGAGGTGGAGCCTCAATGGATCGGACTTGTTATTCCACTACATCACACCCTGGAATAACATCTGGAGAATCTGGAGGCCAAGCCAATACCTTGTAGTCTTTGTCATGTTCCTCAAACTATTACTGAAACATTTTTTGCTGTGTGGCAGGGAGAATTATCTTGCTGAAAGAGGCCACTGCCATCAGGGAATACTGTTGCCATGAAGGGATGTAGATGGTCTGCAACAATATTCAGGTAAGTGGTAAGTGTCAAAGTAACATCCAAATGAATGAGGGGATCCAAGGTTTCCCAGCAGAACATTAACCAGATCATCATACTGCCTCCACTGACTTGCCTTCTTCCCACAATGCATCCTGCTGCTACCTATTCCCCAGTTAAACAATGCGCACACACACACACACACACACACACACACACACACACAGCCATCCACGTGATGTGAAAAAAAAAACATGGTTCATCAGATCAGGCCACCGTCTTCCACTGCTCACATGTCCTATCATAGCAGCATCAAGGTTTTCAGCAGCTTGTGTTATAGGAGCTCCTCTGCAGGTTCAGACCACATTTGCCAGCTGTCACTCATCACACACACGTCAGTGAGCTTTGATACCCATGAATCTGTCACAGATTCCTGAGCTATACATCCTTGGACCACTTTTGTTGGGTACTAACCACTGCATAATGGAAACACTCCGAAAGACCTGGGACCTCATTTATCAACATTCTCATACTTAACAATGTGCGTAAATATACGCAAAGGGGCCTTCACGCCATTGCTGGATTGCCAAACAAAATTGGAGCCATAGAATGCACCCACATTGCAATCAAAGCAGCATCACTAAACAAATGTAATTATGTTTATAGAAAAGGGTTTCATTCAATCAACGTACAAATAATTTGCGATGCACATTTGTGGCTATCCAACGTTGCTGCCCGGTGGCCTGGAGTAACGCACCACTCAATCATTGAGCAGAACAGCTCTGTGGGTGCGTCTCCAAGTAGGAGTTGTTGAAGATGGCCGGCTTATTGGTGAGTGTTACAGAGTGTGGAAATGTTTTGCTGGACTTAATTAAAACATGTCATCTGTAGGTGATCAGGGCTATCCACTGGGTGAATGTTCGGTATTAATTTGTCCTCCGCCAGTTGCAGTCATTTCTCTTTTATGGGCTGTGATGCATTTTTTGACACTGAGCCTAACATCAAACCACTTTTTAAAAATTTTGCCGGCGATCTCTCCTCTGACCCAACAGAAATAACTGCAGCGGTTATTTTGTCCCATGCAGCTTTTTTTTTTCTTCTTTCGCTGCTTATCCCAACATTTCACACACCAAACAATACTTTCTGGTTTACTCTAACCTCGCTGACAAGTACTTCGATCTCAGTTTCAGAAAAGTTCCTCTTTTTTGCCCTATTTGCCATGATGATGACAACAGGTGAGGGAAAAAAAATCTTCACTTGCTTTATAAAGAGGCATCTTGTTGCCGTATATGGTGATTTGGAGGCGCTTCTGAAGGCAATGTGCACGAGCACGGAGGTTAAGAACAAGTGGGATTTATCAAGCCCTGTACACACATTTGATAAATACTGATTTTTTTGTACTTAAGCATAATCTAAATTTCATGCGTACGACAGAATTTAGAACCTTTTCTACGCAGTGATGACAAATGAGGCCCCTGGAGTTTTGGAAAGTCTCTAACCCAGTCATCTAGCCATCACAATCTAACCTTTGTCAAAGTAATTCTGATACTTGCGGCCTAATATATCCCACCCTTTGACAGATGCCATTGCAATTACATAATCGATGTTCCCTTTCAGTTTGCTCAGAACAATACATACTACAACAGGGGTTTTTCTAGAAAAAAAATTGTATGAGGGCGTACACCGTGTTGAGTGAGCGAAAAGACAGAGGGAGGGTTGGTGTGGAAACCCCCTTCCAGGGTGACCCTATCATACATGTACACTGCGGTGGGGGACCACCTTCTCCAGAAGCTGCGCCTGGATGACGGCCACTTCCAGCGCTGTTTTCGGCTGATCCTGACCCAGTTTGACTACCTGTTGGAGAGGATCGGTATCACGTTACGCGATATGTGCGTAACGTGTGTTTAGCACGGCTAGAATCGCGTCATTCGCGTGAAGAACTCACTCAATTTGTGTCCATCACGCCGCAGTAATCGCGCAAGTCGCACCACAGGACGTTTACTCGCGTCAAATCGCGTCTTTACATTGACTTTACATGTAACTCATTCGCGCAAATGATTTTACTCGCGTCTGGTGTGAACACAGGGTTCAATCAGCATTTTGGTAAGAGGGCGCAAGCCGGGAGTATGTGTGGGATATCACCCTTGTGTGGCCTGACTGAAGACACCTAATCATGCCTTTCAGGTGGATGATCTATGATGACATATGTGAGGCCCCATAAACACTTGTCATCACAGTCATCCTACAGCTCGATTGCTGCTCTTCAAAGAGCCTCGCTACGCAGCAGGGCAACCAGGTGTTGTACCTTGTTCCGTTCCTTTAGGCAACAGAAGTTGTAGACATAGCATTTCATTATTCACTTCACCTGTCAGTGGTGTTAATGTTGTAGCTAACTGGTGTATAATAAATGCAGAACTAATACTACTTCATTAACATACTTGGACAAACCCAAATGGAAAATCGAGAGCTGTCTGGCCCCCTGAGCCGTGGTGAAATGCCATCCTCCAGTCATCGATCATAGCAGGGAAGGAACAGCTGTACTTGTCCTGATGATAGTCTGCATTTGACTCACCTGAAAGCAAGAAAAATCTCACAGATGTATACTTCGTAATTGATTATAATGAACATACCTGTGATATCTGTGCCATCAGTGTTACTCTACCTTGGTACCAGATGGCTCCTTTGATGGTCATATTGAGCACTGGATGGATCATTGCATTCCATAAAACTGAATTTCTCTCTTTAGGACTGAGAGATGGTAACATGCAGAAAACAGCAATAATGCAGTTAGTAAAAGCTAACTTTTCTTGATTATTGCACAAGAGAAACTTAATTATACAAACTGCAGGTTAGTTGCATGGCATAGTCTTTATATCCTTACCTGTCTTCAGTTTGCTCCAGTCCACACTGCTGCAGGGCTCTTGAAGATGACCAGGCTTCGATAGGTGTGCCTCCCCAACAGGACTCCACAAGTCCTATCGGGTACTTCAAGTTCTCATACATGTGACGTCCAAAGAGCCAGCACACTGCAGAAAACTCTGCGAGAACATCTGGAAATACAAGTGTCAAATAATCAGCGTCAGTGTAATACAAGGAAATGGTAGCACAAAGACAAACAGCATTATGACTGGCAAAAAGGTTCATTGTACTGGAGTATGAACTTACATTTTTTTAATCACATTGTACAGTATTATATTTTCCTATACTGTAAATGTAACAAAACTGTAACTTGCATTGATGAATAGATGCGACATACACTGTCGCCCATAAAGTTGGAATAATAGTTGTTTTCAGACACATTCCTCTTTTTATTTCTATTTATACACATCAGCAACCATTTCTGACCAGGTGCAATGACTACATACTGAGTCCCAGCTACCGAGGTGAAACTAATTCTGACTTTGGGATCTGACTAAAGAATGGGACGTCCTGCACATTGACACCATCAACAAGCTTGTGGACAGTATGCCACAATGTCTTAACGCATTGATCCGTGTCAGGGGTGGTCATTGTCAAGAGTAATATTTTAATGCATGGAATCCCCTCGAATATGTGTTTCTAGTTATATGGCCAAGGTTGAAAAACTGAAACAAAACCCTTAATCCTATTGTTCAATACCCCAATTTAGTTCAAGCCTGAATACACAGTTTGCAAAAATTAATTGTGGTTACATTTTTACTGTGATATGTATTGTATGTCTATTGTGATATCAATAAAGTTTTGAGAAGATCGTATCAACCAAGAATAAATCGCATTGTCACAATCACTTCATGAGAAGAGGTAAAAAAATATTTTATTCCAACTTTATAGGCAACAGTGTATATATATTAGGGACGCACGATATATCTGCGAACACATCAGTATCGACCGATATTTGTGTTTTTTCCCATATATCGTATCGGTCCGATGAGCACATTTAGCTGATGTGAAAAACCGATGATTGTTTAACATTAGTGCCTTCATTTCCATAGAGATGGCAGCGTGCATAGACGTAGCAGCCCCTTCTGCTACTGCGAGAGTGAAAGTTTTGAGTGTCTTGCCTATCCCAGATGTTCATTCAGCAAAACTTACAGCCGAGAGACTTTGCTGAACATCAGGGCAATGAACGTTGTTAAAATTGCGGCGCTCGGGTTGTGATTTGGACATACTACACCAACACGAAGTCCGATCGGAGACTATGCCGGCAGTTACCCGAGAAAGAAGCAACCGCAAACGGTACGAACGTAAACAAAGGAGGAGGAAGAGAGCCAGGATCCATGCTAGGCTAAAAACTAACCCCTCCAGACCAGCACTACTGTCGTTCCTGCTCTCCAGTGTCCGCTCCTTCGACAGTGGGCTGGACAAGTTACGTTTGCTGGGAGAAATCCGTGGAGAGTGGAAAGACTGCTGTGTGTTTGCTTTTGTGGAGCTTTTCCAGAGCTGCTGCAGGAGCAGGACACTGAACATTGTCAGGGACTCCTAACACCCTCTCCATAAACTGTCTGAACTGCTGCCATCAGCCAAACGTTTCCAGAGCACTGAAGGAAAAACTCCAGACTGATCAACAGCTTCAATGGCTTTATTCCACAAGCTGTGAGAATGCTGAACTGCTGATTCGGATATGCAAACACTTCTTTATTTAATTGCTTTTAGTTTTTGGATCCTGAAGAAACGTTCTCTCATCTTGTTTGTACTACTGTTGTATGTATAGCAAAATGACAATAAATTTGATTTAATGTGATTGATTTAATTCGATTCTACATTTGATATTGCTGCTATTTCACAGATGTTTTCACTTAAATGGTCCTGGACTTGAACGTTAAAAATCTTGAAATTTTTCAGTGTGAACAAAAATTGAATATCGACATCAGTGATATAGGTTATCGACAATATCAGAAATCTTAATATCGGATATCGATATCGGCCAGAAATTTTTAATATCGTGCATCACTAATATATATATCTTTTTGCAATTCAAACAATTGTATGAAAAAAATAAAGAAATCCTTGTTTTACTTGCTGTGGGAACAAACCATGGGAGCTCCACTTGAATCAGATCAGTTAGCTCAGTTTCACTCATGTTCAAGGCTGCCATGAAAGGCCTCACATGTGGATACTTAGCTGAGAGGGCCAGCTCCTCTGATGCACTGAAAATCTATCGGAGAACAAGTAAGTACATGACTGAAAAAGGCCTGAAGGTAATTGTGCAATTTTTTTGACCAATACAGCCAAAGTATTACTTGGCTTGCCATACCTGCGATGTTTTAAAGTACATGTTGCTTTGACCACCACACAGCCAAACGTCTCCAAACAGCACATCTGTCAGACTAGCTGTGCTGCTCTGAGAAGTTGCTGTCACATTGTAGGGACCACCAGCATCAACAGGGTCAAGGGTAATTCGCCAGGTGCCTGTAAACATAAGGTTTATTTCATTTCACAAATTTTAGCTTCCTTGTTTTCTCTGTCCTTTGCCCTTGTGCTTGTGATCCATAAATCAATCTTCGTGCTGCATCACAAAGGAAGTCTCATTTCTGATTTAATTCAAGAAAGGCTAGCATGTGTTTACTCTGTCTTCCTTATCCATCTGGCATCAACCATCTTTGTGTTTCCACCTTCATCTACTCCACAGCACACATGACACATTCACTCACTGCTCGCATTACTGATATTGTTGACTTCCACACTCCATTGAAAACCGGGGTCATCTCTGTGTTTCTGTACATTTAGGTTACTCAGTACCTCACTGTGGTTTAAGCAAATCAGATCCATCCATCCATCCATCCATCCATCCATCCATCCATCCATTATCTATACACCGCTTCGTCCTCACTAGGGTTGCGGGGGGCTGGAGTCTATCCCAGCTGACTTAGGGCGAAGGCTGGGGACACTCTGGACAGGCCGCCAGTCTATCACAGGGCCACACTTAGAGACAGACAACCAAGCACACTCACATTCACACCTACGGACAATTTAGAATCACCAATTAATCTCAACATGTCTTTGGACTTTGTGGGAGGAAGCCGGAGAACCTGGAGAGAACCCACGCTGCACGAGGAGAACATGTAAACCCCACGCAGAAAGATCCCAGGTGTCCTCACCAGGACACAAACCAGCGACCTTCTTGCTGCGAGGCAACGATGCTAACCACCGTGACACCATGCAGCCCTCTCTCAGAACATGCTGGAGAAAAACTTTACTTTTCCAAATTTCCATCATGCAAAACAGCTCCAGAGTCAAGGTTTCTACAGCTGAGTGCTGTCAACAAGCAGAACAGGGACAGTACCCACTGGAGTACAGGGCAACACCTTGTTTAGTGTGGAAAGCATTTTGAGACCGGCATGGTGCTGCTTTAAAAGCTTTACAGTTAGTCCTTGAACTGAACTTATTCGCCTATGTATTGCACTGGATGATTTCATATGACTGCTGTGTTCTGTTTGCAGTAGGTCCTGAGCTTAACAGTTTTCTGTAACATTTTAACAAAAGTATTTTTTTAAACTTCAAATGCCAGTTATGACTGTTGTAAAACATTTAAATTTAATTTAGATGTTATTGCAAATTATTGTGGAACATCTTTTTCAGTGGGCCCAGGATGTTGAGGTCTTCCACGAAATTTTGTTCTTATTAACATCAAGTATTTACTTGCAATGCCTAACATAAGGCAAGGGCAAATCTTGAACACAGACGCTTACGTTCAAAATCCCTATCTTTTATATCAGTAGGCTACGAACAAGTTTTTCCACATCTTTTACTTGTTATTAGGGACTTTCCATCATTTTACACCATTATCTTTTAGTTTTATCATCATATAAGTATGTCCTCATGTTTGGCAATAATTCACTTTAGCTTTCCTCAGACACCTGTGGCAAATCCTGGCATTCTCAGAAAACAAAAAATGCAGACCTGCTGATCTTTAATAACTTCGCTTACAGCATGTATCAGCTTTCAAAACATCACAACCATAAAGTCTGCCTGAGTCTTCTGTTGACATAATGTTATGAGCATGATTCCACCTCTCCTAAATAAAGCTGTATTTATCTAGTTGGTTGGTATCTCAGGTTAGGATATAAATACTGATCATGAGGCCAATTTTGTAGATCTATGGTCTAGTTTAGTGTCCTAAAGTGTCCTAAAAATTACACAAAAAATTGCAGTTTCAAGAGCTTGTACATGTATTTTTGTTTTTACCACAATGACAGAGATGATGCCTTTTTCTGGATCTCTATCGTTGTTTGGTATTAGTTTAGTTTGAATAAATTTCATTTGACTTAAGTAAATCCATTGCCTGGGCTCCCTACTTATCATATTCTTTGAATTAGTTTGTGACAACTGCAACAAAAGAAAGTAATCAAATGAACAAATGAAAGCCACATGCAGGTACAAGACTTGACTTAACCACAGTGTTACATCATACCACATATTCTGAAATCCATTATCTATACACCGCTTAATCCTCACTAGGGTCGCGCGAGGGGGGTGGAGCCTAACCCAGCCGATTTAGGGCGAAGGCAGGGGACACCCTGTACAGGTCGCCAGTCCATCACAGGGCCACACTTACAGACAGACAACCATGCACACTCACATTCACACCTACGGACAATTTAGAATGTCCACAGCAAGTGTTTTCAGGCTGCTTCCTTATTGTTCTAAAGGCGGTTACACAAAAGAAGCTCTGACACAAAAAAAAATGGTCTCACTGCTATATCCACTCGTCAGGATTTTGACTTCACTTTCCATTCAGAATACAATAAAATAAAAATCTCTCATTTGACAACAGTTTTTTGCACTAACCTCCCGTCACAGTGACCAAAGTTTTCTGTGTCACTGGTCCTGACAAGAAGACTGTGACCTGCGCCTCCTCAGGACCGAACCCCCACAACACAGCTCTGTCTGGAGACTTCTGCAGCACCATGTGGTCTCCATAGTAGGACGCAAAGCTCAGGTGCCCATCTTCGGACAATATTTATTAATAAACAGAATAGTAAAACATTAAAAGACACTAATATAAAGAGGGGAGTTAGACACAGATATAGTGTCGTGTACAGGCAGATGTATTTAAACGACCTGGCTTGTGGTTTCTGCTTTAACAAGTTACGGTCAAAGCTAGCTACAGTGTCAGCTAGCTTTACAACACTGCTATAAATTACAGGACAATGTAGCTGAATGCGGACACACATTTTGTCGAAGTGTACTCACCACAGTTGTGAAAAGAAGCTAGAAGTATGAAAATAACACCAAGTGTCACAGCCATGACAACAAGACAACTCACGCTATTGAAACGCTAAAAACGTTCTGTCAGGAAAACTCACAGAGACACCCACAGATTATAGTTACACATAGGACACTTCATTACACTAATTCCTGACTAACATTCTGAGACTTGTATGTGTAGAGAAGTGGGTCATCCACAGCCTCTATTCGACGTCATCCAGATATACCGCTGACTATGCCGCTGACTCCCGACCTTCAAAATAAAAGCAGCATTTTTATTTTTTATTTTTTAATTTTACTGAATTTATGGATACTACAGTAGTGTAGTGGTTAGCACTGTCCCATCACAACAAGAATGTCCTGAGTTTTGAACCTGCTCAGGCCTTTCTGTGTGCATGTTCTTCCTGTGCTTGCAGGTGTGCCAGCTTTCACCTACAGATAAAAAAACATGAATTGAAGATTAATCTGTGATTCTAAATTGTTCATAACCGTGAATTTGAGTGTGCATTTACTGAAAATTAGTTCAGTGATGGAACTGCCTTTTGCAAATACTGCTGTTCTTGATGCATCTGCTGCTGATTGAATACTGCCAAAGGTATGGAAGTATTTAGAATTCTTGTCTCATGACCATGTCCAGATACTGTTTAGCTAAGCAGGCATTGTTGGTAATAGGGTTTCTTGTTTTTTGCATTGGTAAAAATATTCATGTTTAATTCACTCAATAAAGTTAGTTTACTGGAAGCTAATTAATATGAAGTAAAAGTACACAAGTGAAACATGTTATAAAATGAATCATTTTAGAATGGTTAATTATTTAATAATGTATGTCACTAACAAAATATTGTAGCGGTCAGGTTATTAGCATAGTGCTAAGTCATCTAAAATTATTGATGTGCCTGGTGATTACTGGTGGTGTAAAAAGTACACAAACATAATCAGGGCTAGACTTTTAAAAGCCAAACGAATTTAAAATCTGCATTCTTGAAATAAATCAACTTCTCAAACACAAACACACTTTCCAAAATGCCTTGTATTAATAAAACCCAATTGCATGACTGTAGAAATGTGGGAAGCAGATCAGTTCCCCAGTTATGCAACAAACGCTTGCAATAAAGCAAACACAACTAAATTGGGAAGTCACAGCAACCTGTAAAAGACATCTATATGAGTGCTTGTAAAAACTCCCAAACTAGATAATACACATTGCATAGTTTCTCAAACCTTGCCCTCAGATTCCCAAGTCAGCACACTGCGGTGAGTTGAATCCTTATGAAAGCCAGAGTAATTAACACCTTTAGACTAATACAACAGCATAAAAAATTAACAGAGGTGTAACATTAATTATCCAACAGTTTACCAGCCAGGTGTTTATTTACCAAAAAAAGGTACACATTTTCCTACAGTAAAGACAAATGAACACCGCACCCTGTTGGCATGCTATTCAACACAAAATGTCAACACTTGCACAGAAACAGGTGATGGATATAGGCAGGAGACTGGAAATGCTGTTGGTTAGAGCATAAAGTAATGGAAGAACTGACAGGGTGACATGCATGGAAACAGTCAGAGCTACATGTAACCGGTTTAGCCTTCATGTCAATTATGGACCCCTTCAAAGGCCAGTGTTAACATTTGAACTTGAAATTGCACATTCATCTTGATGTAAGACCCTACTATCAACCATGTGTGCTGCTACCTTGAAATCATGTCATTTACATCCTGCATATGTGACATACTGTACAATGAATGTGTTGCTCTGTTTTTATTTTCATGGATTTACCTTTGAATTTCAGCTCCACAGACTTGCCCATCCCCTTTAGCTCTAGCTCTATAGCTCATCTGCTAGCTAATTGACACAGTTGTCAAATTTAACCACAGCGTTGTTAGAACATCTGTGAAACAGCTTTGAATACAGAAGCAGCTGAGAGCATGCCTCTTCAGACATGATGAAAAGGATGGGAAATATCTGTCTGAACTAACTGAGAAACATGTCTGAGCGCATATTGCAGCTGAATGACAGAAATGAGGAGTATAATCCTTTAATTTCCTTCCGTTTTTATAATGTTCACATGTAATTTGTCTGTTATCAGAAACACTTATGAAAATATACTGTCACTTTTCACTTTTCTGGTTTGTACAGTTTTTGCACATATTGTATGTGACTCTAATATTTCCAATTTCATTTACCAGACACCGTTATCCAAACCAACATACAGTCGATACACATTCATACACCAAAGGCGACAGAGCTGGGCATCCAAGGCCATTGGGAGCAACTTTAGGTTCAGTGTCTTCACTTTGACTGTGGAGGGGCAGGGGAAATAAATCACCAACCTTGCAATTAGAAGACAATCTGCTCTACCATCTGTGCCACAAGTGCTCATATAGCTAATACAGATTTGAAGTTTATTATTCCTTTGTGTACCCCCCCGATGAATTGCCACCTTATCGCAGTGGAGGGGTTTGAGTGTCCCTGTGATCCTGGGAGCTATGTTGTCCGGGGCATTAGCCCCTGGTAGGGTCTGCCAAGGCAAATTGGTTCTGGGGGAGGGACCAGACAAAGAGCGATTCAGAAGACCCATGATGAAGACCAAGACAAGGAGTGCCGCCACCTCGCCCGGAAGAGGGAGACCGGGGCACCCCCCTGGAGCCAGGCCTGGGGGGGGAGCTCGCCGGGGAGTGCCTGGTGCCCGAGCCTTGGGGCCCTGTGGGGCTCGGTCGGGCACAGCCCGAAGAAGCAACACGGGGCCACCTCCCAGAGGACCCACCACCCTTGGGGAAGAGGATCGGGGTCGGGTGCTATGCCCACCGGGTGGTAGGCAGGAGCGGGCGTCCTGGCGTACCGCCCCCTGGTGGCGTAGACTAGCTCTGGGGACATGGAATGTCACCTCACTGGCGGGGAAGGAGCCTGAGCTGGTGTGGGAGGTGGAGCGCTACCGGCTAGATATAGTCGGGCTCACCTCCACACATAGCAAGGGCTCCGGAACCATACTCCTGGAGAGGGGTTGGGCTCTCTCCTTTTCTGGAGCTGCCCACGGTGAGAGGCGCCGGGCGGGTGTGGGGAAACTCACAAGCCCCCGGCTGAGCGCGGCCTTGTTGGAGTTCTCCCTTGAGAACGAGAGGGTCGCCTCTCTGCGACTGCGTGTTGCAGAGGGGAAAACTCTGACTGTTGTTTGTGCTTATGCACCAAACAGCAGTTCAGAGTATTCGGCCTTCTTGGAGTCACTGGGTGGTGACCTGGAAGGGGTGCCGCCTGGGGACTCCATAGTTCTCCTGGGGGACTTCAATGCTCATGTGGGCAATGACGGTGAAACCTGGAGGGGCGTGATTGGGAGCAACGGCCTGCCTGATCTGAACCCGAGCCGTGTTTTGTTTTTGGACTTCTGTGCTAGCCACGGATTGGCCACAACAAACACCATGTTCGAACATAAGGTTGCTCATAAGTGTACTTGGTACCAGAGTACCTTAGGCCAAAGGTCGATGATCGACTTTGTAGTTGTATCATCAGATCTGCGACCGCATGTTTTGGACACTTGGGTGAAGAGAGGAGCAGAGCTGTCAACTGATCGGTGATGAGTTGGATCTGATGGCGGGGAAGGGAGCAAGAACTCAAAAAAAAAAAACCCCAGTGAAGCTACTGATATTAGAGATTATTAACAGGGTGTCACTGTTAAAATGTACTATTTTTGTCCAGTCCATCTATGTCCCAACCCTCAGCTATGGTCACGAGCTTTGGGTCGTGACCGAAAGAACGAGATCGGGGACACAATCGGCCGAAATGAGCTTCCTCCGCAGGGTGGCCGGGCTCAGCCCTAGAGATAGGGTGAGGAGCTCAGACATCTGGAGGGAGCTCGGAGTAGAGCCGCTGCTCCTTCGCGTCGAAAGGAGCCAGTTGAGGTGGTATGGACATCTGGTTTGGACGCCTCCGGGGAGGCTTCCTCTGGAGGTTTTCCGAACACGTCCACCTGGGAGGAGACCCCGGGGCAGACCCAGGACCCGCTGGAGGGATTATATCTCTCGGCTGGCCTGGGAACGCCTCGGGATCCCCCAGGCAGAGCTGGAAAGCGTCGCCGGGGGGAGGGAGGTCAGGGACGACCTGCTCCACCTACTGCCCCTGCGACCCGACCCCGGATAAGCGGAAGTCAATGGATGGATGGATGGATATTCTTTTGTAGAAATAAGTGCTAAAAGTTTTGAAAGGAAGTTGGTTTGAAACTTGAAATCCAAATGTCTTTAAATAAACTTTATTTAGGGCCCAAGCACTGACAGCGCATAGGACCCCATTGGAATGAAAGGAATTATTGTTATTCTCCGCATAAAATAAATGCGCTTTTGAGGGCCTAAACATGCTTAAAACCTATGAAAATTTGCACACATATCAGAACTGGCAAATTTTTTTTAAATATTTTATGGGATTTGCGCATGTGTGTCTCAAAATGGCTCCGTAGCGCTCCCCTACACATTTTGTAACATCTGCGATGGCCAGGACGTATCAAATGTGGTGACAAAAGCCTTAACAAGTTGATGATGACTCATAGGGAAAACTATGAGTCCTCGTCAACGTGTCTGTGACAGTGCAGCGAATTTCAAATTTTGACCATGAAGACTTAAATGTTTATATCTCATGATGGAATCTGGCCCAAATTTCACATTCTTAGGAAAACTCAAAAACTCATCAAAATTGGTACACATATCACTATCAGCTTAACGACAATGTATCCATACTGTACAGGAAGTCCACCATTTTGAATTAACTGTGCGATTTTTTGTGTGATTTTTGTTTTATTCAAGAACAAACTCCCCCTAAGGGGTAACTCCTACATGCCTCAAATTTGGCCAGCACATACAACAGGGCTTGGTGATTAAAAGTTATCAAAACACTCCACAAAAGTCTATGGGCATGGCAATGATGGCCCTTTGAATTATGATCATCCGCCATCAAAAAGGAACCAGCGTTCTGTTTGTAAAATTGCATGTCATTGACAGGCCAAACCAAATCAAACAGTCTGTTTGAAGCTTATAAATTGCCACATAAATGGACCCATTCTTCTCCTTACATCTCAGGTTCTTTTTCTCCAACAACTGCTCTTAGAAACATTCCGCATGTCTTTCTGGAAAAAACAAACAAACAAAAAAACTCATAGTCTTGGCTTGGTATAGCTTCTATATATATATCCCA